TTGATGTGTCCTGATCGGGAGCGGGCGGAAGAGCAAAAGTAGGTGCAGGGCGAGGCGGGGGAGGCATAGATAGTCGGTGGCCTTGACTTGAAGTTGGGCGAGAGGCAGAATTAGAATATGAAGTACTCGAGGTTTTAACACTAAAGGCGGATGAACCTGATGCTCGTTTAGAGAATGATGGTAAACTTGAGACAAAACTTCTTTGGCTAGCTGTAGAATGAGTCGATGACGACCGACTGGGAGGTTGCTCTCCGGCATACGGATGGGGAATAGTCCGTGATGTACTGGCTTGTGCACTTGGTACTGATGGAGGTGGTCCGCTCGGAGGTGTAAGTCTTCGCGGCAGAACCCCACTCTGCCTTGACCATCGTTTCATCGAGCTGCGCTTCGTGCTTGAACTGGATCTTTCTACACTGAGTGTTTGTTCTCCGGAAGCCAGGGTCGAAACTGACTGAATCGATGGTGCACGTGGTTTTTGTTCTGGCGTCCCAAATGGAAAACTGGCGAGGATTGGACTCGATGGGGGTTCGGTCCCTGCTTTATAAAATCCCTCGGGACCCTTATCAGAATTACTATTGATAGGTTCATGTATTCCATCACTACTCGTGGATGTTGTCGGACCAATGGAAGTCCAGCGCTTCCGAGGGGGTGGCTGCAGTGAAAGCGCTCCCAAAGACATGGTCCGATTCGTCCTCTCTTTCATAGCTGGCGTGGGTTCCGCAGACGCCCACTGCGTGGACCGCTCAGTGAGGATTTTACGCTCTAAACGGTGTTCTGGTGATAGGATAGAGCCACTGAAAGGGAGGTTTGCATGAGTCGTGATAGACTGCGAAGAACTAGGGGGCGTGTTTCCTGATTTCGGTCGCAGACCGCTCCCCAGGAAGTGGCTGCCCATACTAGCAAAGGATTCATCATGGAGTTCCCTGTCGTGTGAGTGTTGATGCCGCTCTGAATCAATGGATGCGGCGCGCGATGCGGACCGTGGGCGAGTGGACGTAAACAAACCCTTGAACGTTGATACTGGTCCAGAAGACACAGACCTAGCAACAGTGGCCTGAGACCGGTGAGAAGAAATGGAAGATGCATAAGTCTGATCTGGCAACACGGGACTCTGGGGAGGGGTATTATGACGTGGACTGGCGTTTGTGGACGAAGTGATCAATCCTTGGGCACGGATGGATAACATAACGTCCATATCTCCCCGGGGTTCAAAATTGCTTGTGTTGGCTGGAAGACCTAATCCCGCCCGGATAGACCTGATATCATCCTTAGTTTGAACGGTGGGATGGAAATTTGTTCCACTTACCGCTGCCCAAGGATAGCATTTTTTATAGAAGAAATCCATTTTTGAGCTTCAGCAGGGTCAGTTATGTGTAAAAACCACATTGTGCGGCCACCATCTTCATGATTCCATTCCTTTTTCAAAGCTCCAACATCAATTCCCCCCACCTTAACAACATGTTTTCGTCCTCCTACATCTTCCTCCGCAACGAAAACAACACTATCTTCATTTATTGCCAACCTCTCGACCTCTTTTTCATCACCACCTGCCGATTTGAAAAGGTGTAAATAGGAAACGGGGGGGCCGGATTCTCGTGGCGTCAACGCAGTTGGTGCAGATAGGACCATAAATCGGCTGCGCCAGTTCTTGGACAGAGCAAATATACGAAGTGATGAAGATGGATAATACTTCTGAAGGGAAATCGCAGCTTGTTTGAATTGGTTCAAAGTGGCAAGATTGACAGGGAAAGCAGGAACAGGAGCAAGGGTTGCCGAATTGGTTCGACTGTGTGCTAACACGGACCCAGAGCGATGGCGCGTGGTAGTAAATGCTAGTGAAGAGACATTTGCAATGGAATGGCTTGAACCATGGAGGGACCTTGTTGGATTGGACAGCGTCTCCCAAGCCATTATGTTGGGTGAGTTACGGGCATCTAGATCCCCTAAAACTGGGGTAACAACTCCTTCCGCCTGTTCTTCACCAGTTTCTTCAACACTCTCTTCCAGTGAATTATCATCCAATTTCAGTACATCCTTGATACCTATAGATATCGCAGCAATGTCCCTTAACCGGTTCCGTTCCTCCATCTCCTCGTCCAGACCAGGTGCCTTGATTTCCATAACACCAGGAAGGATAATCGGCATAGGGGGTTCTCGGATAGTAGGCCTCCTTCGGCCAAACTTGAATCCTAAAGCGTCTGAGGCTGCCCCGAGTATGCTGCCTCGTTGAGTTTTCTTGGACCGCTCGCCTGAAGTGGATGCCATAGAGGAGTCATATGGTATTAGTGAAGACGAGGCAATGTAGCTAGACGGTGAGAAGGAATTTGCACCTTTTAACCAAGGTGTATGTTAGAATGTATCAAGTGACTTTACGGGTTTACACACCCTGAGGATGTACAAGCCCTTAGGAGTTAAAAGATAACTCACCAAAACCGGAAGAAGTTGGACTTGTACTACCTTCCGCAGAGTCATTGCCATATACAGGTTCTTTTCCTTTGTCGTTCGCTCGCGAATGCGTTGATGACCGACGAGACCTTGCACCCATGAAGCCCTCTTTTCCTTTCCCTGACCGTGAGTCGTCTGTACGTGAGCCAAACCGGAAAGGCACTAAAGAGGTGGGTGAAGTAGCCCGCGACACAGGGAATGTCATCTCAGTTGTTGAGGAGCTCAATTGAATAAATTCCTAAGAAGAGAATGGCAAAGATTGGTAAGAAATCAGATTTACATCAGGAGAACGTGTTGGACGGAGGCAAACAGCAGCGCCCAGATTCCGTGAGCACTGCCGCACCGGTGATGTGTACTGTAACACTGACCTGGGGCTCTTTTATCCACCCACTTTCCTCAGTCGTTGCCAGTAACATTCAGGGCGTCGAGCAGTCGCAAAAAGAGCCGTTAAAGGGACAGGTCCCACCTTGTTCAAAATTCAATTAAGCCAGTGCTCTTCGCATATCCCGTGTGCCTGTTTTTCGTTCCTTCAGGCATTTTATTTAAATTTACGGCTATCGGCATGATTTATGAACCCCCAGAGCCGGTCACCATGGTCGGTGAACCATTTTATTAAAGCACAAGTCAAGCTCACGCGCGTACAATCTCCCCAACTCTCGACGGTATCACTCTTACCATTCTCCTTAAACTTACATCAGACTCCGGTGACAGGCTGTAAACTCAAGCCACGAGACAAGTACCCGTCAAACAAATTGATATGCTGCTATACTTGGCAATATGCATTTATGCACAACTTATGACCAATATTATCCCGTCGTTGTCAGCACAACCAATGAGGTTCCACCAGAAAACAGATGCGTCTACCCGAGCCGCCTAGGTAGCATGATATTACCATACACATGATTTGATCTCCAGAGTGACACTCAAGCCTCCATATACCATACCCTCTCCAAGGTCTCGATACATCAGACATCGCCTGATCATACCATGCGCCCGCATGCCTGCTGCAGGAACCTGTGATGAGACCAATCATCATCATCAGAGAACCGCGCATGTTATCATTTCATCACTATTGTCGAGTCAACAAAAATAGGACTGTCTCAGCTCGAAGTAACTCTAACAACCAATCGCCAAGTAAAGAAGGGCACCTTGATCAAACATGTATTTAGCCAGGGGAGCGAATCCGTTTATATGTTCCGGATGGGCCCAAACTCCCCATCGAGCCACCTAATTTGGTTATACTTGAGATGTGGTGTTGATCTTGCCTTGGGGGTTCAAACGTGGATCGACTATCCCAATTATTTCGCCTTGGTTGTGCTGACACGAGCCCCATCATCCGCCTCAGTTCCTCATTCTCTTTTTCCAGCCGCGCGAGCTCAATTTCTCTCTCCAGGGCATGTTCTGCGGCGAACACGGAAGTCCACGGCTCGCGATCCTCTTCATCATCAACTCGCGTGGTTGATGGGTCTGCATCTTCTCCACCCATGGAGCGCAGGAACTGACGTAGAAGATGCGAGATTCGGCCTATAGATTCCGACACTGCTGTGGTGCGTGTGAGGTCCTGGACTGAGGCTTCTTCCTGGCTCGCTAGGAGTTTCGTCTCGTATTCGCGGATCAATGATAATTCACGCTCCTGTACATCTTGCTAGATGAATAAAGTGTGAGTTACTCAGAAATGATCAGTCAGTGCCACTATCATACGGCACGGTTCCGAAAATTGCCTGTGGAACAGGTGTCAGCGATGATTAATCCGTATTGAAAGAGTACTAGAAGCTCAACTCATGAGAGTTTCCAGTGTCTGTTCGTACTCCTTTATCAAAGTATTAAGCTGCTTGTTGTCATGCTGAAGACCTTGATTCTCAGCAATAATTGATGTGTTCATACGCTCCAGTTCGGTTTCATAGTCCTCTGTAGTGATATATTATAATCCATAATGTAAGACCATGCCTCTAAAATAAATCAAACCTTGAGTTTTATCTAAATTGTACCTGGCTGGATTGAGTATGGTAAGCTACTAGAGCATACCATGACGTACCGACGCAATACGAAGCCCGTCTGAGAGTGAACTGCTTGGTTCTAAGGAAGGTATGATACTATTTGAGTATTCGCAGTAGACAGGGACCAGATTGTGCGCCAACCTTGATATTGTCTGCCTGAGCGTACAGTGATACAGAAACGCTTCGGTTTTGATTTAGTTGTTCGCTCAGCTCCGTGATGAGGCCCCAGAGCTGCATAAGATCCTGGTCACCATTTTCCAACACCGCCATCGTGATGCCCGTCGGCAGTTGACCGCCAGACGAGTCCTTTGTTACTCGATACACCGTCGACCAAGTTTTGTCAGAAAAGAATTGCAAAAGCCGCGCTGGAAAACACGTCACGTGATAATTACTCAACCCAGACAAGAACTTAAAGAGTTCGTTGAAGACTCAGCAGGTGAAAAATGGCGATTTTGGGGGCAGGATTACGCACAAAGTCACCAGCATTCTAACTTGATTCCAGCTGCTCAAACCCGGAAAAAAAAAAAGAAATCGGATGATAAAAACAGTGAAAAAAATCTCTCTGCCTGGGAGTCGAACCCAGCTTTCGCGCGGCCGCTCTAAGAATGACAGGCGCGTGTACTAACCGATATACTAGCAAAGAACTTGAAAAAAGATATCCGTCTCCAGTTATAATACGTAGGTCGTCATTTGCCTTTTGCACCGGGCTCATTTTGATACATTCAGCCACAAGATAAACTACAGGAATTTATTAGATCGGTTTCAAAAGGGTACTTACTAAAAATCTCGAATCTACTAGTCATCATCCATGTCTAGGTCACCCTCAATACCGGCCCCTTCACCAGTATCGTCGAAAATGACTTCTTCATCTGCATCTGGGTAAGTGAGCGAATCCCATGGTTCGCCATTCTCGTCTGAAATGAGGTCCATGAAATGAGCGCCCGGCGTCTGGCCATCGAGAGTAGCGCTGGCAGAAGATGAAGCAAGAGTTGTTTGAACGTGGGACAAGATCTCGTCCATTCCTTCGCCTAGCCTGTCCTCCAATTCCTCCACAATCTAACATCAACCGCAGTGAAATAAGATAGGATAAATGGGTATGACGTATACATACAACATAGAGTTCGACCGGCAAGGTCGGAGCCAGATTGACCACCTGAAGCTTTTCAGCTTTGGTCAAATCGTATGCAGCAAGACTTCGCACGAGTTGGGTAATTCCTTCCGGTGATTGCGAATGAGTTGGAAGATAGTCTGCTGATAAGTATTGTATTGCCTATGATAACGTTTAGCATGACCATCGATTGATCATTGGCTTGGCGCAACGCTCGACATTACCTCGACTTCTATGGTTCTCAAGTTCTCGCTAGCTTCCCCGAAAAGTGTGTGGTTGCCGGGGGGTCTTGTTGGACCCCCAGATGCTTCCTCCTCTTTTTTAATGCGAAGTGCTGATTTTGTTGAAAATAAGTGATCGCTCTCAAGTTCCCGAAGCAATGTCAAAACCTCGAAATTGGAAAGAAGAGCTACGCGGGGATCGACAACCTAATATAATGAGATCAGATAGGTATAATTAAGAGGTGATGGGGACGTACCTCCATTGAATTACAAGGGTTCAGTTTCCGTCTTGAAATACAGGAATCGGGTCGGCAGGTTTAAATTCTAGGAGGTCAAATTTCCTTCTTTATGCCCAACGCATCCTCAAACTTTGTCAGCTTCTTGATGATGAACGCGATGAATGTGATGGTATTGGCCCGGCTGCAGAGGAGTTCCCTGGTATATTCAGTTCCTCAACGTTTCGTGCAAATTTTCACTCCCCTACAGTCACGTGCATTTGGGACGTCCAGTACCCGAAGAAACTGAAGTAGGCAATGGAAAATCCCACCAGTCAAGCTACGGAGCTGGGTTGAAGATCATGAACGTTAGCAGCATCCCTTCGGACTCGACTTGAAAGGGTGTCAAAAAAGTTGGGTTCTTTGATAGTAAGCCAACAAGAATTTATAGTCCTATTATGCGCATCCCATTGGGAATAGCCTATTAGTCTAACCCGGAGATGACAATGAGTCCAACAAGGAAATACTTGATTTTGTTGGGACCTGGGCGAGCTATGCATTCTTCAAATCAGGGTATACTCTAAACGCTGTTGAACATGATGCTTTCATTGTAAAACACATCGGTAAATGGCTTCATCGTTTTCTCGTCAATGTACCCTTGGTAGTATGCCTGTCAATATCAACTTGGTCGAATACTTGAACCTTTTATATACAATCCGTAAATTGTTTAATATAAGTTCTTTGCTAGTATATCGGTTAGTACACGCGCCTGTCATTCATAGATCGGTCGCGCGAAAGCTGGGTTCGACTCCCAGGCAGAGAGAACTTTTTACTGATTAATGTTGAGGTATTTTAGCAGTTATTAATATATCAAATTGGAAGTATCTTGTGCGGCCAACCTGAATAAGTTTCAAGTTCTTTGCTAGTATATCGGTTAGTACACGCGCCTGTCAACTGAACTGGACGCGCGAAAGCTGGGTTCGACTCCCAGGCAGAGAGATTTTTTTGATACTTCATGGCGACGACGATCATACGCTAGGGATGCACTTATGCCAATGATCAATCCCTATAGTGTGAGATAAGCTTAATATGATTGGGAAGGGTCATGAATCTGGGATGTGATAACCTATCATCAATGAATATTTTTCTAATTTGACCTGCAGCCGCTCTTTATGATCGTATTTATAAATGATGAATTATGAATTATGATGCATTGATGAAGCTAACCTTGTTGTTCTAGCTACTGGTAGTGATCAGACTCCCAACAAAGCCTCAATACATAGTTCGCTTGTAAAGGGTTTTCAAGTGCAACTCAATCGCCCACGTGCATCGCATCCGAGAATTTGCATCCATACTCTGGCAACTCCATCTTCCTCACAACCCACCTGCATTCCATTGTCCCTGAAAATATAGTATTCCCTCGCTGGAGTTTGTACAGCCGCGAGAGCCGGATGAAGCGGCTCACCCTTACAGGTGGTGAAATGTAAGCTTTCAACGTGATGATGTCTGAATAAAACTTCCAGTAAGTATTTAAATTATCCTTTGACAATGACATACGCGGGTAAAAATAGCTGTACACGCATGCTTTGCGTAATCTCTGGCAGGCATGGTGCCATTCCGTTAAATGCCTGAGCCATATCAAGAGACGTCATCCAGGGGCCACTGACACTGTCTTTGAATTAGGATTGTATAAGGTAGTTAAATACGATATTGACGTACCTATTTGCGACAACACACGCTAGAACGTATCGTTCTGCAACGACTCGCTTGATTTCACCCAGTACGCCTTCACCTTGCGCCCGTTTCAACCATACCCTACTAAGGCCTCTGTCGTATTCTTCATGATTTGTCCATTTTAAATGAGACATCAAAGAGACATTGATGGGGGACGATAATGAGGATTGGGCGTTAATATATGCGGACCAGTCAGCACGGATAGGAAGTAGACCTGGGGGTGAATCCTCAGGTTGGGTTGAAGCCCTTAGTGATGAGCGGCCAACGACCTCGCACGTTGCCTCCAACACATAATAAACCTCCATGCTTTTCGTGGAGGACACTGTGATACTCCACAGCTCCCCCAGAATGATTTCCTGTGCATCCACTATTTTGCTCTTGAATTGGTCGTGGGTTTCATTCGTGATCGAGACCGAAAAATATAACTGCGTCAACAGAAACCTATTAGGTATTAGAATAGGATTTAAACATGTAAAATGAGGCACTTAACCGAATAGCAACTGTGATCTGCTTCGCATTATCCGGGCTGGTCCACAAGCGGACTGAGATTCTATCGTGGCCTTTCAACGCTTGGTTTAGGAAAGATTCACGGTAAATCTGCATTCTCATAAAAAGCTCAGTTTCACGCTGCCGCAAGTAAGGCCACATATTTGTCATGCTGAGTGAATACTGTTGCAAGATAGATTCGAGTCGACGTCCGGAGAAGTCCTGCTTCAGCCGATGAACTGCAGATATGTAGGCTAAAAGGCATGAAATTAGGAGTTGCTCGGTCGCATCAAGGTTCGAGGGAAAGGAAAGCCTACCAGCGTACCGAAATAATCGAGAAACGCGCACACAATTACCAAGATCTTTGACTGAGACAGAACTGAGAAATAGAGCTAAATTTGGGACACCTTTCCGTTGAGACAGTGAAGGAGGATAAGATACAGGCTGAAGCAACATCGGATGAAAATCAATAAAATCTAAGCCTTGGATGTATTTCGCGAGCTCTCCGTCCTTATAGGGAGAGTTAGAGGGACACGGGCAGATGATAGAAATTTGTTTTTGAGGAGAATCTCCTTTTTTTCGGATGGCCAGAGGCACAAAACGCTTGCCTTTAAAAATAGGTTTTGAGATGTTTTGATCTTGGAGCGCCTGTACGAGGAAAGGAGCCGCCGAGTCCAGAATCGGGTTTAAAGCCTTTCCCGGCCTATCGTTCGTCTGGTTTAAGGACAGCTGTGAGTAGCCTGGTAATGATGTCTGCGTATTTTGGTGCTCAGGTATCAGTGGAGACGCGGCAGCCTGGATGATAGTTAACGTTGGGGTAATAGTGCATTTTCGTTTTTTCAATGTTGAGACCAGAGCCGTAGATGATTCCATTGGCCTCTTACTCAAAAGATCAGGAGATTCAAGGACTTTAGGTGAGGTTATAGCACTTGTTGAAGCAAGGGATACTTTTGTTAATGAAGGTTGTAAAACGTTGTCTATATGCGGGCCTGTATTGGTGTTTGGTTGATCTGTGATAAGAGAGGAAATGCTCGAATTTTGGTATGGCAACTCGGTGGTGTTACGATTTGCAACTTGATGAATTCCTTTTTCATTAATAACCCTGAACTGTGCGGCGGTGTTTATAGGTTGCCCTCCAAAATGTGCATTTGTACAAAAGAGGGCTGTGATTGGTTTGGTTGAAGGCGACTTCGGACGCTTTTTTTCGTCAATAAGCTTCTGTATTATTACGTTTTTCGTGAGTTTGGAATAGCCAACGAGATTTTTCTCTTTGCATAATGTCTTTAATTGAGCAACCGTGAGTTTCTGAAGATCTTCGATAGAGCCAGAGGCTATAGACATTGCAAGACCAGGCCGCAGACTCGTAGAAAATATGGGGGAACCAGGGTTGTCGTATGACTTGTTATTCCTTGTTACTGTAGTATGAGATCAGAGATTTTGGCTTGAACTCGGGCTCTCTGTCGGATCTCGGGTATCTTTTGATATGGGGGTTTTCCGGTGTATATGTAATCGCGCTTTCTGTGAGATATTTAATTAGTTCTGCTTCATATTGCGCTGGAAGCGAAGTTTATGCCATGAAGGATTGCCTCCATATCCACTATCTGGTTTGCCATTGGTGCGTATTTACATGTTCTCATAATACTTACGCGCGGTTTCTGAAGGTTAAAGTATTCTTGAATTGTATTATTGAGCTAGTAGGTAAAAATTAGTCCGACTAAGTCACTAAAGGTAGATGGGTAACGGTAATAGTCTAGTTAATTGGTGAGCGTTCGTAATATATTCGAGATACGATTTTTTTCGACATACCGATCAGCATTGAAAAGAAAGTTGTTGGCGATGTCTTCCCCTTCCAGGAAACGATTAGGGAATAGTACTGTTATGAAGGCAGAATCAGTATATTACAAAGGCCTGAGTAGCACGTTACTTACCAAGATGACCACATAATTCACCTAAGAGTTTTTCCATTTCATCTCGCTCCCATTTCTCGAACGGCTCTGTGCCCCTGGTGGGCCTTCTAACCTTCGGTTCCTTCTCAGAGTTCTTTGCCGAGCCAGTGGGCGTTGTATTATGTGCATCATCTGCTTCTTCTTTACTTATACGAGCCTCGAGTTCCGACGCACTATCCGTTGGCAATGAACTATGACCTGGATTGGCATCGTGTCCTGATTCTGATGGAACGCGAGCGACTGCTTCAGGTGTTGTGCTATCTCGTGGCTAAACGAAATTATGTGTGAATATACTATCAAGGCCGGATAAGTAATAAATATCCTCACTGGTTTGTTCAATCTCTCATGGTGCAAAATAAATTCCTTGTACTGTTTCCATGTGGTTATAAGATCATCAGGGATGGCATGGAAAACTTTGCGATAAATTTCGGTCTAAGAGTATTCCTCAGTGCCTGTGACAGAGTTCTTGACGTTGGACCTACATTATGTGCTGCGCTAGCAACCCAGACATTTTTCCAAAATACGTCCGACACGGGGTCTTCAAAGCCATCGGCACGAACCTCAGGTTTAGCTGTTGGTAGGGTCCAAACCCCACTACCAAGTTGTTTCCGTATGCTAGCCCGAGCCCCGGGGGCTGCCTGTTCCTCTGCATCGGGGTCTCCAACATCACTTGGAGCATGAGGAGGTTCGTCATCTGTTTGAGGGGATTTCATGGCGTCTGCTGGTGCACCAAACAAGATGCCATCATCTGTACGGAGCTGCGAGGTCACATCTGGTGAGGCGGTACCATTCGGTACAGACTTTGTTTCTTCGATTTTTTGCTCTTGAAGCGGCCCACCATCTGGAGACTTAGTTTGTTCATTTGGAGGTTTTTGTTCTGCAACCGTTTGTTCCTCGAGTGTTGGGACGACGGCGCTTGTGAAACCTGGAACCTCCTTGCCTTCACGTGTGAATGTCTTGCGCTCCGCATCCAATGTGTCATCCCCCGCACTTTGGGCCACGGAGTTGTGTGCCAAGCCTACTTTCTGGAGAGTCTTGGATGCCGTGTGTGAAGTCGTTTCACCCGCGGCATGGATGGCTAAGTTAATCGTGTGAGAATGTCACTTATGATGGGTACGGTTATCCATACCTTGATTGATTCCAGCTAGCGTATCGCGAGTGAGGGCACCTACGGGAGTCCGCTGTTTGGACTTCTTGATATGGGTTACTCCTTTTTCTTGTCCATACGCCTGTTCAGAGTCAGGATCCCAAGCTTCTTCTGTGAATTCCGGTTTCACGGGGTCGTTAATCATAAGGTCTTCTTCGTCTAAAGCGTCGACGTCGATGCCAAGATGTTCACGCATAAGACGAATACGGAGCGTGTGGGCAAATCTTCCAACTTTGAACGGCTTCCCCGCCATTGTACTATGATTGATAAATTGATAAGAAACCATGTTTAAACATATGTATTCACTTGCCAATCGATCATATCTGTATCTCGAATTACTGCCGCCAGTTCGGAGTCACGGTCTCCCCGTTGGGATCGTTCATTGATATTGGCGCTCCCAATAATAGCCAGTCGATCATCCACGATGCAGACTTTCCCGTGGATGTACACCTAAATGATCGATCAGAATTTCAGAAACTACCGGTGGTATTATAAACTTACTTGTTCGGTGGTAAGAACGTCGCCTCTCATCTTCGCCCAGTTCCTGAGGGAGAAAACCGAAATATATTCATCCGGCTTAAGAAACATGAGTTAGTTGTATTAACGAAGTAAAGATATACATACATCGATTCCTTCTTTCCGAAGACGAGCAAAAATGGAGTTGGGGCCGCGGGATATTGTACGGT